CAGCAATATTTTTAGAGAGCTTGGGGGGGGGAATTTTTGACTCCAACTCCCAGTATCCTTGGCTGTGGGGGGGATCTGGGAAACTGTAGTTCAAAAGGTAACCATTTCAACCACTGCAATTGGTTTTGATTGAGGGAGGTGCTACAGTACATTACACTGTCTTTTCCCATCTCTGCTCGGTCCTTAGCAATCCAGTTTGAAGCATCAAATAGCAGGTGATGAGAGACACAGAATATATGCTGCAAAAAAACCAATGACTTTTTTGGAATGAATTTTGAGGGGGGAGCTACCAAGTACCAAACCCCAAATCAAAAATGACCTACTTGTCGAGTGCTAGATGTTGCTAAATTCCAACTCTCCTTAACTTTCATCTGTGGTGCCCATGGATGATGGCAGACATAGTCCAATAACATCAGGAAGGCCACATGTTCTCCTAGATCTTGTCCAATTTGGTTTTTAATGCAGCTCAAAAGTTCCTTCGCCAAGTTCGTGAAGTGAGATGCCATCATAAGAATAAACCCATTTTTCCCAGTACAGTCTGGGACCACAAGATGATGATGCAAGTCCATTAGTGTTTCTCAACCATACACCTTCCAGCTGTTCAGACTTCAGCTTCCAGAAATCCTGGCCAAAAAAGCTGGAGATTCTAGAAGGTGAAGTCCAAAACATCAAGTATCAAGAACCACTCAACCACAAGACTTTGAGATCAAATCTCCTCCTGTCCGTTTTTATAGCATCTTGCCTGATGAAACCTTTGCAAGCTTATATGTCTTTGGTGCCTTAAAATGTAGAGTTTTTAAATTTTTTCTTACAGCTAACTTGGTTCTTTGTTTTCTTCAGTACCTGGAAAGGCACTCTTCCGAGCTGTTTTACAATAACAAAAATGCAATACAGTGGTGCCCCGCATAGCAACGATAATCCGTGCAGCCAAAATCATCGCTATACGATTCGTCACTATGCGGATTTAAAAAGCCCAGAGGAATGCATTAAAACCCATTTAATGCATTCCTATGGGCAAAAAACTCACCTTAATGTGAAAATCCTCCATATGGCCGCCATTTTCGCTGCCCAGTAAGCGAGGAATCCAGGCAAAAACACAGTGGGCGCCCATTTTATTTACCCAGCGGCCATTTTCGAACTGTTGATCAGCTGTTGGAAAACACTGCTATGTGAAAATCTGTAAGCGAAACAGCTTACTAATCATCGCAAAGTGATTTTTTTTCCATTTAAATCATCGCAATGTGATCGCTTTTGCGATTGCAAAAACTTAATCGCTATGCGGATTCGTCGTTAAACGGGGCGCCCGTTAAAGCGAGGCACCACTGTACTAGGATCGAGGTGGCCAGCCGTTATAATAGGTTCTATCCTCCACTACCACCAGATGAACGAGCGAACAAAAGCTGTCTGCCAGCCGGTGGTATTTAACACTCTACCGCACAGATAAACCACAATCAATGCAATACTACTAAGGAACAGAAAAAAACGGCAACACAAACTGCTTGGTATAGCTTTGATCTTGATTCAGGCAGGCATGTTAACGAGCCAGTTGCAGCGAGCAATGCCATTTCTCCCAAGGAACCACCTCCAATTACATTTGTCACTTCGCTTTGGGATGAAAAACCAGTGAAGCTTGCAGGATACAAGTGCCAGCAACAGCACAGGAAGCACAACAGCTTCAGAAAGAGACTGCGAAAAGAACTTGCTCATTAAAATCCAGCAGCAGTTATGAAAACAAGCTCTTGTTTTCAGCCAGTACTCTGCAGTCTGGAATAAGGGAGTTGTTAATTGACTGGATAGCTCAGTGAGAGAGGTATCTGGTTGGGAGTTCGATTCCCCACTGGCCCTCCTGGGAGTGGAGCCAGCCTGGGTGGCCTTGGGCCAGCTGCACAGCCCTAGGGCTCCCCCTAGAGGAAGGGAATGGGAAACCACTTCTGAGTATTCTCTAATTGGAAACCCTTGAAGAGAGTTGCCAGAATTGACTTGACCACACATGATTAGAGATAGCTTCTCCAACTGGCACTCATAAGGACTACAACCCCATACACATATTGACAATGTTTCCTAGAGATGATGGAAACACAGGAAGTCAGAGTTCTGCCAAGTCAGATTCCTTGGTTCATCCACTGCTGCACTGTTCACAGCCAGCTGGCAACACCTACAGCGGACCTTCTACTTAGGGAATTAATCTGTACTGGAACGGTGGCTGCAGGTCGAAAAGTCTGTAAGTCGAGTCTCCATTGACCTACAATGCATTGAAAACCGATTAATCCGTAACTGGCCGTTTTTGTTCCGTTTTTGTTTCATTTTGGATTTTTTCTGGTCTGTAGGTCGATTCTCAGGCTGCGAATCAAACCTAAACTTTGCGGCCAGAGAAGTCTGTAACTCGAAAAGTCTGTAGGTTGAGCCGTCTGTAAGTCGAGGGTCCACTGTATCTAGAGCAGCATGTCATTTTTCCAGCCCTACTCAGAGATCTCAGACATTAAACCAAAAACTTTCCCCTCTTTATAGGTTTTATAACAAAACCAGAGTGGAGAAACAGTGCTCTAGCGGGCGTTCTTCACTTTCCTCCTTTCCAGGGATTTAACTCCCAGAATCCCTTACCATTGGATGTGTTAACCAGAGCTTCTGGGAGCTAAAACCCCAAAAATGTAAAGGACCATCAGCTGAAAACCATGACTGTATCCCTGTGCAGATAATCCTATTGAGTAGGCCCTGTTCTTGCAAGGTCATAACTGATGTAGGTGCCAATCCGAAGTACAAGGGCTCATGATGACTGAATCAATAAGGGAGTCCTGAAGAAGTGCAAGCAGCTGGTGCGATTCCTATACAAACAACAATTCCACCAGTTTCTCTATCAGAAACGTAACATCGAGCTAGCCCAGCACACTCTGAACTGTAAGAACATATTGTTACTAGGGTATAATCAGAATCCAATGACGTGGTAGAGCCAGCATCCCTAGGATCGAAGTCCCTGGGCCTGATGATGGACTGGATGAGGATTAATAAATTGAAACTCAGTCCAGACAAGATGGAAGTGCTGTTAGTGGGTGCTTCGCCGGACAGGCTGGAGGGCCATTTCCCTGCCCTGAAAGGGGTTGCAGTCCCCCTAAGGGACAGGGTCCGCAGCCTGGGGGTGCTCCTGGACCTCAGTCTAACTCTGGAAGCCCAGGTAGACTCGGTGGCCAGGGGCATTTTCCTTCAGCTGTGGAAATTATAGCAGCTACGGCCCTACCTGACACACACAGACCAGTTGAGCCAGAAAAAGAGGACATGCTAAGCTAAGAAATAAGAGGGAGAGATGTTGCTTTCCAGCTCCCGGGAGAGAATATGGCTCCTACATCTCAAAACAGTTACCCCCATTTGCCTTCTCAGAGAAAGCACCCACTATCTGGCCAGAGATGAAAGTCTGTCCCTCATTTGCTTCGTAGGGGCAGCTGAATATATGTACAGGAAGACCCCTGAATCTGCAGGAGATCTGTTCCAAGCCCCACACAGACTCCCCAAACCATGCAGAATAGTGATCCCCTATACATAGCATGGTCTATAGCTCCTTCTAGGGGCTGTTCTGATAATTACACCATGGAAATACGTATTTCTGGGTTTTGGCTTTTAATATTTTTCGTATTTTCAGACCATAGATAAGTCAAACTGCGGATACCAATCCTGCAGATACAAGGGTCCTCCTACTACACACCTACCTACACCTACACACACACAGAGCGGCTGTGTTGAGTGTTCAACAGCTAAATAGCCTCATATTTTAGGTCAAAGGCTATCATATGAGGCGTGTCAGCTTTCCCCCCTGCCTATCTAAACAGCAGGGAACTCCTCTGGATTCCAGGCTCAACGTCCAGCGTCATTTCAGTAACATTTGATAGTGGCTGAAACATGAATGTAAGACTCACTAAAAGTTTGCAATGTTCTAAGATTCCGCAGATTCACAGCAACAGCAGCGTGTGCCTCTTCCCCTGTCATAAAGCCTGGCAGGCCAAAAAGAAAACTGCACACTGATATGGACAGCCGTAACAAGTCACCTTTTAGTACTCTTGCGCATCCAGGAGCATTATTTGGAACCAGCAGCCTGGTTTTAAGTTTTCTTGGTGTTCTAAAAAAGCTTGATTCAAATAATTCTAAGACATTAGATTTAAATTTTGTAAGAAACTAAATATAAATTTAACTTAAAATACTGAACTATTTTCCTCAGGAAAAAAGAAACTAATTTTAAATAAACAGAGAAAGCTGTGTTATAAATGTTCTAGAATGAATGAAACTGTTATCTTGAGTTTAAGCTATGTCATAGAAGACATCTGAACATAAGGGGGGGACTGAATATATAGAAAAATCTACTGCTCTCTAACGACGAAACCGCATAGTGACGAAGATTTTGCGATCGCATTGCGATGTTTCCTATGAGCAAAAATCGCTTTGTGATGATCGATACCCTGTTTCGCTTACCGATCATCACAAAGCGACGATTTTTTAACAGCTGATCGGCGGTTCCAAAATGGCCGCCGGGTAAACAAAATGGCCACCCACTGTGTTTTCGTGCCAATTCCTTGCTTACCGGGCAGCAAAAATGGCGGTCGTATGGAGGATTTTCGCTTTAAGGTGAGTTTTAAGCCCGTAGGAACACATTGAAGAGGTTTCAATGCATTCCTATGGGCTTTTTAAAATCGCATAGCGACGAAATCGCTTTGCAGCGATTTTTGCTGCACGGATTATCGTCGCTATGCGGGGCACCACTGTATATAGAAAAACCTACTGCTCTTATGCCAACGGCTGGCATGGGATCTCATCTCAGCCCAAGGTGGATATATTTTCCTCCTGCCTCCATTCTCCTGTGCTGCTTCTGTAACCTCCTTTCTATATAGTGATACTATATTAATTTATTTTAGAGAAGTTCACGTTCTCACCTAAAGCATTATTATGGACTTTCTCAGCTCTGTAAAACAAACCCAATATATGTACCCCTGTAAAATAACTCCATCCCGGCAGCCAGGTTGCTTGGATTTCATTTTTATTCAGTTTATCAAGACAGTTCGCTTCTGAACCTTGAACCAACCTAGTATGGCTAATGTTATGGCTAGGAGGCAAAGCATCACACCGGTCACCAGTGTAGCGGTTACCCATGTTCCACTACTCCACGTCTGTCGGCCTAAATAAGAATACAGAAGTCAGGTTAGTAGACATCTGAAAGACATGGGGAAGGTCTCACAATTGATTGGTCAACATTGGGGCGTGCATTATGCTTCTACTTGGGCTAGCATTTGAGAACCAATCAGGTGCAGAGCGGCTAGGTTTGGAGCTCAGAAAGCTGTCAGGGCGGAAGGGGCGATGGCAGACCAGAATTCCTAGAACCACCCAATCAGCTGAGAAAGTCATAGCCTAAAAAGTAATTTTCCCCAAGCTTCAATTATCATATTAAATTGGGACTCGAGATACGTAGGTTCTAGACAACAGTTTTCCATGAAACCCATTGGGTCAATCATTCATTGTTAACTCGGCTTACTGAGCAGGACTGTTGTGAAAAAAACGTTGGGCAAAGACCGGAAGCCATGTAGGCCACCTTGAGCTCACTGGAGGGATACACAACTGTGGGAGACAACTGTGAACCTGCATCAACCTTTGTGATGTTCTTTAATTAAAGGGGACATCAGAGGTTCTTAACACATGGCCTGGGTGTGCTGCACGTCAGTGGCTGAAGCAGCAGTCGAGATGCAAATGCATGTTTCAGAGATAACGCACTCCCAGTTCTACTGATAATGCACTGCATCTGATAATGCACTACTAAGAACTGGGAGTTCACTGCAATCACCCCTCCAACATAAATGTTCTGCAGCAAGAAACACAGACGGCAGTTGTCAGGAGGCACAAGAGGGTCGCAAAGAGAAGGGGATTTTAATCTGGGCTCTCTCCATGATTTTGTGAATGAGGCAAAGGGACTGCATAATAAAAGACTTGCTGGGCAAGAACCAAGTGCGTGCACACACAATTACTACAGCGGCGACTTCCATGTCCCTACTTAAACCCTCCAGGGTATTCCTCCTTCCACACACACTCCACCTTGCCAGCCAGAGTTGCCCAGGATGTAGGAAAGAAGCAAATTTACCTTTAATCTCAAATTGCTCCTGAGGTACCAAGATGACAGCATGAGGAAGAGTCACCACGGCAGCATTTTCTGATGCTGCCACATCTGTAAGTAAGTAGATAAGTAGGTAAGTAGATAGGTAGGTAAGTAGGTAGGTAAGTAGGTAGGTAAGTAAGTAAGTAAGTAAGTAAGTAAGTAAGTAAGTA